TCCGTAGAGAAGGTGTCCTTTGAGATGAACCTTGAAGAAGTGGCAGGACCCTAACTGATCAGATGGGAAAGAGGCCCAAACCTCCTCATAGAGGAGATGTGAACGAGGCAGCTTGATCAGGGGTCGAGGCTGGAGAGATTATCTGGGAGATGGTGAGTGGTTTGTACTTACTTTGCTATTGTAATGACACAGTTATGGTGATGAGTGAGGAAGGTAGTTGGGTGAAGGGGTGTGTGATGGGTTAAAATAGGGGCTGCGTGGCAGTCAGACCGGCCAGGACACTGTTGTAACAGTGCAGCTGCGAGCTGAAGAAGGCTTGAAGTGATGGAGACTGGAGATATTTTGGAGGTGGAGTCTGCAGTTCGGCAACCCATGGTTCCCTAGAACATACCAGCCCAGCAAGAAAACGGGATGAAAATAACAATAGCACAGTTTTCCTCTCCCTGCTCTCCAGCAGCTATTTTATAGCCTTACAGTCCTTTTGAAATTTTCCTTCCCCAAAGCCAGGTAAATAAACAGAAGCTGCAACACTTGCCACGAGTGCTGAATGTCCCTGCAGGGCCCGCCGAGGCCACCAGTGTCAGCCAAGGCTGGTGCTGCGGGGGCCAATCAGAGGTGCCAACACGGGCAGGCTGAGGTGGGCATCTCATCGAGCGGGGAGGACGCCTCACTCCTCACTCCTAACCGTTATCTGGTCGAGGAATCGAAGCTTCCCTTGGCTTGCCTGGTCTCACAGAGACTTTCCTTCTGCCTTTCCTAGCAGCCTCTCCTTTCATCATGAATTAGGTGTTTGTGCAAGAATGAGAAGTTGACGGAATTAGGACAAATTCTGTGCTGTATTTAAAAGTCATTTTCCTCTGGCACTGTCCTTGGCCTCGTGAAGTTTCTTTTCCCCTTAGAAGGACACCTTCCATGAAAATAAACTACTGGGAGGGTCACCTCTCTTTGAATCCTGGTGGAGACACATCTTCCCACAGAGAAGTACCCGTGTTTCCCCGAAAATAAGACATCCTCCGAAAATAAGACCTAGCGTATGGAAAGATAAGACATCCCCTGAAAATAAGACCTAGTGCAACTTTGGGAGAAAACATTAATATAAGACACTGTCTTATTTTCAGGGAAACAGGGTAGGTGCATTTGTGTATCTGGTGACCAAGGCTGATGGGTGGTGGCGGTGATGGACTGGGCTTTGGAGAGAATGGTGAGTGAGGGGCAGGGTCTTAGGGGAGTAAAAAGGGTCAGAGAGAGAATTTCTCTGCTCATCAGAGTAAATAGCTTTTCCATTTGAAATCACTCTATTCTCCAGAAGTTACTTCCTTTATCACCTCTATAGATATGAAAGCCCATTTATTTTCCTAAGAATTTTTCCCCCCCCAGTAAGTATTTTTTCACATGGGATGTTTGTGACTTGATATGTATTTATTTCTATATAAAGGCATGTGACTATGAAGGCAGATTTTAAAGGCATTTCTATAGATAAAGTGTAAGGTTTAATTGAATTTGTTGATCTTTTTGCAAAAGTATTTTCTGCCCGACTTTGTGATTTGAAGAAATGTAGTCGCTTTTCATTTCTTGTCTTTTTTTTTAAAGAGATTATTTTTATCCATATAAGGTTGAATTAGAGAGTTCCAATGTTGTATAAATGAGAGTAGAGACATCAAGCATTAGTCATATTAAGGCTATTGTCAAATTCCATGGACTTGTACATTGAAAACAGGACTGCTGGCCTGGCCAGCGTGGCTCAGTGGTTGAGCATTAGCCTATGAACCAAGAAGTCATGGTTCAATTCCTGGTCAGGGCACATGCCTGGGTTGTGGAATCAATTCCCAGTAGGGAGCGTACAGGAGGCAGCCCATCAATGATTCTCTCTCAACATTGATGTTTTCTGTATCTCTCTCCCTCCCCCTTTATCTCTGAATCAATAAAAGTATATTAAAAAAACAAAACAGGACTGCTGGATTTTGTGTGTGTGTGTTTTTTTTTGCCACAAAAACTAGTACCTGTGATCTGAGGTGAATATTTGTTACACTCTTTTCATGGCAAGAAACAGAGACTCCTTTAGAGACCTGGTCATTGGGTTATGGAATAATTTGTGTGATGTCCACAACCCTACCTGTGGCCAACGCCACTATAACCAGACTCTGCCATGTGCCTATGGGCCCAGGGCCCTTATTTGCTCATCTTGGCTCGATGGTTTTTCTGTCCCTGCATAACTTGCTAAGGGCCTTTGTTTACCATGGTCTCCACTCTACCCCAAGACTCCCTTCCTGCCTGTGAGTCTCACTAGTTCTCTCTAGGTTTCCAAAATGTATACTCCCAAGAGCTGGAATGTGATCGGTCAAGTTTGTCTTTTCACATTAGGTCATGTCCTTGGTCACTGGCCTATCTTGGTCCTATGGATGTGACGTGGTCATCTATGCAACAGGAGCCTAGGACAGCCTTAGAAAGGTGAGTGAGTGGGTGCTCAGGTACTGACTGATATCTCAAGGCAAACAGAGTTTCCATTTTGATTTTTGATTGCTCTTCATGGGGGACTGGAAGCTCAGAGCCGCTTCTATAGTGTGATAGCTTCTGGGTAGTTGTGTTCAGAGCAATGCTCAGTTTCCATTTCCATTTCTCCATCCCACATCTTTGCTAATGAGAACAAATGAAGCATCTGTGCCATTAACTATGTACTGGTAATTGAGCCCCAAGCTCTGCTGTCAGCCTGGTGTCAGACAAAAACACACACTCCAAAGCAAAACCCTGGTTTTTATTCTCACTGGCATCACCCACATTTCAGCAGGATGTTGCCTGAGTGACCCAGACAGATTGCACCAATTTTCTGCTTCTTTGCTTGTGAAGTCCAGTCTGTGAGTGGTCTCCTGTGGAATGACGGGACATATTATAAAAAGGTTGGAACCTGGAAGGATTTCTCGAACAATATTGTACGCTTTACTTAAATTGGTCTTTTCTTCTCATTTGGTTTCCATTATTCAGTCTATCTAATAATGGTGAATGCAATTTAATTAGAAAATTTTCCTCAAAGAAGATTTTTTTTTCTTTCTAAGAAAGCACTGGATACTTAAAAAGAGTGTTAGTCTAAGCAGACACTTTAACTTTCAGTGATTTCATTAGAATGGTAAACTTTAAGATGATTCATAAATACATTTTGTATCAATCTGTATAAACCGTTGTTACCCATACACTGATAACCTCTCCATTTTTTTCTTTCCATGAAGACACATATAAACATGCATGTTCCCATACTATGTTCTTGTGAGCTGGTTTAGATTCTGCAGTGGAATGTCAACATCTTGGCACCTGAGGTCCAGCTGGTGCCAGCTGTGAAATGTTGGTATAGATACTTAATCTTGGTATCCCATGGTTTTTTTATTTGTAAAATGAGTTTCTGACAATACTTCCCTCACTGGCTCATTATGAAGGTACTTACAATGGTATCTGACTTCTAGTATGCGCTCGGAGGACACTTGCTGTTATCTTTATTCTCTCTCAATTGAGAAAGCACATGTTGGGATGCAAGTAAACGTCACTGATAGTTATTTAAGAACAATCGACCCAATTTATATTGTGTGTGATAGAGTTATATTTTCTAATGAAGAGAAAACAATCTGTAGCCGTCAGTTCAGAATCTACTGAATGTCCTATTTGGAGACCTAAGTAATTTTTCCCTCTGTCTCAATGTGTACAAGTGATTTTAACAGAAAAACTAAATGCCATCTGAAAAGCATAGTTCCTACATTTTGACAAATAAAATAACTGAAGGATTTAATTAATTTAAAAAAATGATTTTGCTTTTAAAACGTTTAAGCTGTTCAAAACATTTTATTGAAGAAATTACCTTTTGCCAGAAACCATAATGAAATGAATGAAATGCTAGTAGCAAGGCATCCTGCTCCACGTGCTCAGTGGAAATGAACCCCAGTCAGATTTTCATAGTCACCTTATTTTATGGGCACCTCTCAAGTATAGAGAAGACTGAAGATGGGTTAAGATCCTTTCAAAATGCTTTAAAGTGTTGCTTATGAGAATTAAAAAAATGTATTTTATTGTTTAAAGTGTGACAAGTAGTAGTATATATGTCTCACCCCCCCCCCCCCCCCCCCCCCCATTGACCTTCATCCAGAGAATTTTTCTTTTTCTTTTCTAAGCTGATTATGGGATTCCACCTATTGCCCTGCAGACGCAAACTTTCACCTGGAGATTCTAGGGTGCCCAGCAGCGAGACAGGCACCTCCCCGCCCCTTTTCTACCCTCCTCACTTCCGCACACCAGCCTTTCCTCACATTTGTAGGATAGAGACATCTAATAGATGTTTAAAAAGGCCTTTATAATGCACACTACCTAAAGCACAGCAGACTGTGTAAGGTATTGCTGTGTCAATATTATTTTAAGAAGCTCCAATTTTAATTCTTAGCCCTTTTTTTTTTTTTTTTTTTTTTTTTTTTTTTTTTTTTTTTTTTTTTTTTTTTTACTTTGGAATGTTGATCTCAGAGTAATCAAGCCCAAACACCCACAACCCCAGTGGCTGCAGGAAATGCTGGGCAGTGCATGGAAAGGTCACGTGACAGAAAGGAAGGCTGCAGAGTCAGAGATTCGAAGCCTCTGCAGGTTAAGGCCTCCAGGAGCCGATGAATCAGTGACAAGCATGCTCAGTCCCTGGCTGAGCCAGGGCATGGGGGTGTCCCCACGCGTGCTCTTCGCTGTAACTGATTTTGGAGGCACAACATTGACTTGTTTATTTTTCCAACTAAGACTTCCAGCTGTCTTTGCGGGAAAGAGACAATCAGCCGGGTTACAGAACGGCACTTCAGGCCCACGAGGCAGCTTACCGACCCCGGGTGACCCGGCGGCCTTGACCCCCGGGCTGAGACGGGGAGAGCCGGGCCTGGTGCGCAGAGAGGAAGGCACCCCCTCCTCTGCTCTGCACGGGAGAGCTTCCCTTCCTAGTCAAATGGTGGTGCTAGTTCTTTAGTTTTGAGTGACTGCATTTCCTAATTTCATGGTCAGAGCAGCCTCCCGTCTTCTGCCTCGGAGCCGATTTCACCAAAACTGAAAATGCAGGCTCCGTGCTCAGCAGCTCCTAACCGGGCTCGGAGGGTTAGCCCCTGTCTCTGGCCCAGGCCATAGCATCAGAAGACAGGCTTGAGTGGCATTCTTCTCAAACAGGTACTCCTGTGTCTTCTCTTTCCATGTTTATGTCACCTTCTTTTCCCTGTCTGCTCTGCTGCTGCTGTTTACAAGCAGGAGGTCACTCTGGAGCTCCCTCCCATGTGAAAAGACAGTCCTTCTGCTCTGGTCGCTCCAGGGATATGTTGCTGTGACTTTAAAAGGTTAAATCTGAACTTGGCCCCGTGGACACTCACTTTGGAGGAAGGCTCAGCGGGTTCAGAGGGCAGCATGACCCCCCTGCCTTGCCTTGGGTGTTTACTGGGCTTGACTCTCGCTTTGAGGAACCGTGTTGTGGAAACGGGTGGGGGTTTTAAAAGTTAGTTATTCCTTGGCCCGGTGGCGGGCCGGCCCGCACACAGTCCCGTTCCCGTACCCCGTGGTGCTGTAATTTATGTGAATCTGAGCGGGGCAATGTGAGTAAGCCACGGCTTGTTCCCTGAAGGCAGTGGAGTTTTTCTGAAAAGCTATGCCGTCTAGCAATGCCAGAGGGAGACATGCCGGCTCTGCCCTGGGGTTTCAGTTCTCCTGGGTCCTGCTGCCTCAGTTTGCTCTCCTGGGAAAGCGGACCAGCCCCTGTGGCAGCAGGAGGGGGGGTGCGTTGGGGCCTCCCCCGCACAGGGCTGACGGAGGAGGCAGGCAGGATACTTTCATTTTGGCGAGAGGAACACCACCCGCCCCAGGAAATGTGCATGCGGCTGTGTCTCAGGCTGTGTCAGGAGGGTAAACACTGCTCCTTCTCTGAGGAGCCCATGAAGCCAACTTGATTATAAGGGTTGGGCTTTATTGGGACTTGGGTCATGGCACTGATTTCCCTTCAGAGGGGCCAGATTTCTATTGGTTTCTAGGGACCAGATCAAATTGCCTGGCAGAGCGTTCCGAGCGCCAGGTTGCTGGAAAAATCGTCTGTTTTTTTCCTGTGTATGTGTTTATACACACACACACACACACACACACACACGCACATGCACACGCACAGGTATATATGTATGTGTGTATATATGTGTAGATATGAAACAATGAAATTGGATGTGAACTTTGGAGACCTAGGGTTCAAGGTTCATTTCTACCCAATAAAATTCCTTCCTGTTTCTCCAATGCAAATGTTCGTTCCCGTGTTATGAATATCCTATGAAGATATTAGGCCTTGGGATGCACGGCTGTAATACTCCAGAAGTTGGACACACTATTGTAGAGGTTGCTAGATTTTCAAAGAAACGAGGAACAAAAATAATGTAAATATCAGAGATGTGACATGTAGGGGGAAAAAGGCAAAGTGTTGAATATGCATATAAAGGTTATGTTCACCAGCAGGATATTTTTCTTAGACCCTTGGCGATATTTGTTTTGATTTATTGCTTGTGACAGCCAAGGAAAGGAAGAGCGCTCCTGCGACTTAAACTTGCAGTAAGGACAAAGTCAAACAATGATCTCTCGTTTCAAAGAGCTGTATGTTTCATGCAGTTTAGGATGTAGAGATAGGTCTTATCTGCCTTCCCCCCACCACCCCTCTATACAATAGAAATAGACTCCCTGGGCGCCTGCTAACCAGTTTCGTATTGTCATCTAGGGGTTCTCTGAGTATTTGTCCATATTCGTTTAGCCCAGTTGGTCAGAACAACTGCTGGGGCTCAGGGCCCAGCGGTTGGGCTTCAGTTTGCTTTGGACAGAGAACAGCTTTGCTTCATGGTGGCAGACTGTCTACCGAGAAAACAGGCAAGAATGACGGTGACCAGCTCTGAGCAGACTGCCCGCATTCTATTGCCAACATCATATGCCATTGATGTTGGTTGAGATGTGGTCCCGCGCACTCATCTTTACTCGGGCTTGAACCATCTCTTCACCCTGGAAATATTTTTCTAGAAAGCTTATACTCTGCTCCAGCCTTCCATAGCAGTGGCTCTTTGGTGAGGATTAGACATTAGGTCCTTTAATGCAAATCCACAGGAGACGGCTGAGGTCACAGCTCCCTCCGCTGTCTGGCTGTGCAATTTCACCTCTGGCCTCAAATTCCGCACCTGCAAAGTAGGGTTTTATGAGTAACTGGCGGATATAATTGTATGGAGCAAATAAGATTAAACCCACTTGAAGTCTCCAAGAGTCAGAGACTCATTTTAATCCCAGGCCTAGTACAGTGCCTGATGATGGAGTGAATGCTGTTTGAGTAAATGACCGGAACTCATGGTCAGCACCATAGCTGCGAATGGGCAGCGCTGTAGCTGCTAGGAGTTTGCATCCATTTGACTATAACTTGGAACTTGAGCTGAATCAAAAAGGGCAACACACCCATCCGCCTGAGCAGGCCACCTGTCCACATGCTGCTGCTTTTGAAACGAGCATGAAGTGTCAGGAGAGAAAGCGTGAAAACCTCCAACATCCTTCCCTTCTTTGTTCCTCTCCTTTGCGACTGTAAGGACAGTCACACTCCGCTGTGATGAAAGGAGCACCAAAGAACATGCTGTGAGAGTGTGTAGAAAGCTTGTTATGGTTATTTTGGGATCAAAAGAAGCATTTTGCCCCAGCCTGGGGGCTCAGTTGCAACCATGAGCCAAAAGGGTTGCAGGTTTGATTCCCAGTCAGGAAACATATGGGAGGTCAACTGATAGATGTGTCTCTCTCTCCCTTCCTCTCTTTCTAAAATCAACAAACATATCCTCAGTGAGGATTGAAAAAAGTGATTTATGTGGTTCTCGGGCAAGGTGTGAGTCTCTGGACATGGAGAGTTATGCTGCGACTTCAATCCTACTTGAAGCCTGGCTTAGCCCCCTCTCACTATCTCTGCAACGATTATTTACTGCCCATGCCATGGTAGCTAAAGCAGTTATAGCAGCACCTAGTGTTCAGGGGCTTCTTACTTTGCACAATTCTGTTTCTAGGCATTATCAGATTTCATCCTGACAGCGATCTTAACTGGGAAACAATAGAATGATTCCAACTTTACAAATGAGGGAACGAAGGCTTTGCAAAGTTACGTAACGTGTCCAATGTCAACCACTTTATAAGTGACAATCCTAAAACTGGAAGGTTAGTGTTTTGAAAGTTCATGCCCTCCACTATTACTGGATACTATTCATTTCTAAAGTTTTTGATTCATCTGATCCTTGCCTTGGAGAAGCAAGCTGAGCTTGCTTCAGAGAGAATAGGCTGACCAGAGAACGTACTACATTTTCTCTCAGCTTCAGTAGCTTCATCTGTGAAAGGGGCTACTGATGAGGATTAAGTTAAGTAAACTATGTGAAAGAGCTTCGTAAAAAGTTCAGTTTAATAAGATGCACGTTTTTATCTGGAAAGTATAAATTATTTCCTAGGTACAGGCAAAACCTTGTCGCCAAGTGACTGAGAGTAGCCGGTATGGTGCTACGGAATGGGTGTGAGGGGTGGTTGACAATGTCCTGAAGGACCCCAGAGTGGGTGCCCCAGTTACAGTGTGGGCCCAGAGTCTGGGCCTCCTGGCCATGTGGCTGGGCTTGAGCATGAGCATGGAGGGCAGGATGGGAGGAGTGGCCTAGGACAGCCTCAGAGAGCCTGCTGCTCACCCTCCGCTACTCCCCTCCCTGGCTCACCCTGCCTCAGGAGGCTCCCGACTTCTCTGAGTGGACAAGTGGCTGGGAGCTTCCTGGACCTCCTGTTACAAAACCACAATGACTTAGTGGCTGCACACCTGAGCCTCATTCTCTTACCCCAGCCTTCAAGGGCTCAACCTGGCTCCACTCCCCTATTTAGAGCAGCTCCCCTTTCTTGCAGCCTTGAAGTCAACACACAGGCCCTTGTTGGGCACTGTCAGGTAGAGGGACAGAGACAGGCCACACAACATCACAATCCTGGGGGAGCTGAAAGCTGAAGACTTGCTCAGGGGATGAACTCATGGCTCTTGGGCTCGGTCCCGGTGCTTTGCTGGCAGAGAGTCGTGGGCATTAGGTCTCCTACGATCCCCTCCAGCTGTTCTCTGAATCAATGGCAGCTGAGCCCCCTGAACAGCTCTCTCCCCCGGGCTGGCCCTTTAGCAAGCGGACGGCCTGCATTTCCGAGACCTGTCCTGGCTCTGCTGCTCAGAGAAGTGGCCTCGCTGGGCTCTTCCCTTTCTGAATTCCAGCAAAGATCCTAAGGAATCCACAAGGACTTCTGAGTTTATCTGACAGAAAACATTTGTTTTTTGTACTTTCATTTTTATGTACCTGAGCCAATCGTTTGTCAGGATTCGTTTTCTTAAACCCAAATACGGAAAAGAGTTTAATTGAAGATGATCGCATCAGAGCATCAGCCCACTTTAATTATTTCACTTTAAAACAATGGGACAGATACAGATATAATTTTTTATATGGAGGTTTGAAAATCCTCCTTGCACTGAGTTTTACTATAGGATATTTAGAGATGAAGGTTAGGCAGAATCCAATATAGTTAACTTGACAAACATGGTTAGGCTCTCTTCCTGATTGTATTTAAGGAGTGAGTAATATTTACAAGGTCCCGGAGTCTCTGCTGCCAGCCAGACCGAAAGTGCCTCAAGTGCAGAGATGGGGTTTGTTCACACTGGCACTCACTCCAGTGCCTTGGGAGGAGCTGGGATACCCAGGGAGTCAGGGGCATAACTGTTGTGTTCAATAGAGCCTAACAAGTTCTCTGACCTCAGGGCATTTACTATCACTTACGATCAGTAAAGCACATATTATGACAACAAATTATTGCATAATGCCTATAATATGTACTATAGACAAATTCAGTCAGCAGAGGGACAGCCCATGGCTTGCAAGCCACTTGTGGCTCATGAGCCGTAGTTTGCTGACCACTGCTGTAGACCATACTATCTATACTAATAAAAGCCTTGGTGGTGATCAGGCCATCAGGGGAGGGCATTGGGGGCAATCAGGCTGGCAGGGGAGCAGTTAGGTGTCGATCAGGCCGGCATGGGAGTGGTTAAGGGGTAATGAGGCTGGCAGGCAGGCAGGCGGGCAGTTAGGAGCCAGCAGTCCTGGATTGTGAGAGGGATGTCCAACTGCCGG